CGGTAGCGATAATAGTAGTGGTAGTTGGTTTGATGCCAATGGGCGGGTAGGTTGGCATAGGTTGGGGTAGGTATTCCGTTTGTATAATGTACCTACTCACTCGTATCGGACTGTCTTTCTGTGATGTGAACGCAGCCTCAGGCTTATTATATATCTCAATCTCGGAATACTACTGACTCTGTCGAAATTATGATTACTCGTCATTCTAGAATTTCGGAGGAAGACGAGTCCTTCTCTCTTTCTCTACTTCCATAGTCTTTCTCACGTTTTACATCTAGTTGGATACAATATATTTTCACGTGTTAAAATGAGTGATATTTATTTGATTCATTTGTTATAAACAATGGATGATATGCATCAATTCATTTGGATTCCTGAAACGGAAATTTTTTTATTTATAAAATTTTATTTCAATATTTTAGATGGATTTAATAAATTAATAGAATTTCATTTTCATTTTATTCTTATTTTCAATTTTAATTTTGAATCAATTCATGTTTTTTTATTTTTTGGTTTGTATTTTTTGTTATTTGAATTTTGAATAAATGGAAAAACAAATTACAGCAATAAGGAAGTATTTCCATTTTATATTATATACATATCTTATTAAAAAAAAAAATGAATTTTCACTTGGACTAATCTTCAGCCAACTTACTTCAGCCAGAACTCTCTCATTAAAATAATGCAACATATTAAAGTTTGTAAAAAAAAAAAAGATAATGAATTGAAAGTAAAATTAAATATCAGATGATTTTAATAATAATGGAGAAAACGAAATAATTTTAATTTGTAATATTATATTTTATTATATTATTAGAATAATTTATTTTTCAATTTTTTTGAAGATATGCTATTCTGTGATTTTCAATAGCATCTCCCAAAAATTATTTTACAACTCTCTTGGAAATCATGATCCACAAGTTGGAAAACATTGTATGTTTAAATCAAACAGTTTAATCCATAAACTACATTTATGAATTATCAAAAATATCTTATAGCAATATAAGACAACTGATTTTTATAAAGAATCCTAAATAATATGATTAAGAAAGATATAGATATATTTAATCGTTGAAAAATTGATTATAAATCAATGAAAAGAATGTTCGAAAAACAGATCAAAAAATCAATTCTTCGAGGATGACGAATCTCCGCATCGATAGGCGTTGAAGATGAGAAACAAAAGGCATTGTGTTCGTTTTATCCGCTCGAGCGGTTTACCAAAGAGAAACGAGAAGGTGCTGGTACCGTAACGGTAGTGAAAATCGAGGAACGATATTCATCGGTGGCTCCGAACGAAGTCTTCCTCGGTTGAAAGTCGACCGATGGAAAATCGTGAAAATGATATGCTGGACAATGGGTATTGTTCGAACCGATCGCCGTGTCTGGCCTTCTACCATAGTTGCTTTTCGTCCCTGGTTGCTTAGAATCGGTAGCTTCGCTGGGAAACTCAGATCCGCGAATCGTTCTTCCAGAAAACGAAAGTCCAATAGGAATTTTCCTTATTCTCCTTACCTCTTTTCTACTTCTGTTTCCACTTCTACTTCTGCTTCTTCGCTTCCTATGCACCTTACTTAATTGTCTTTTTTAATAGTCCAATGTTATTATCGATTACAATTATTTTATTAGTCAAATTTAAAATAAATAATTAAATATTAATTAATTGTTATAGATATTGTTTCGTGATAATATTTTGTATTTTTATATACAAATATTTTTCGTATTTTGAGAATAAATTATTGTAATGATTTATATAAGTACATATTTATATAAATATGCCAGTTTTAATTTAAAAGATATAATAATTTAATTAATTTATGTTTCTTTACTATGATAATTCTAAAAAAATTCATTGATGATTCAATAATCGAAAAAGGAGACATTTCAGATAATTGAGTCGTTTGTGTATATAAATAAATATTATACGATAATTCTTTACAATATGTATAATCCTTTACAATATGCGTCCTTGAGAAATATTAAATATTAAATTAAATATGAAAAGATAAGAATGAAATGATATGAGGATTCTATTTAACGAATTAATCTTCTTGTTATGACGACTACAAAACATGGAATAATAAGATATAGTGGTTTAACATATTGACGCACCCTAAAGTCAATTGAGCATGTGCAGTCTATGTGATTAGTTTTCATAGAAAGTGATTTTAATGGAAGCCCAACTGTTCCTTTATGTTTTCAACGGATCCCAGACAATGACTCTCTTTTCAATTGTTTACCCTATATCAC